CGCTACAGGGAATTTGGCTGCATTTGAGATGCACGCAGCTATAAAACACTATGGCACTTGCCACAATTTGTTTTGTGAAATAAATATATTTGTCTATTAAGCGAATAAAACGACATCGATATGACGTCGTTTGTTACCCGTTTTGAAGCGCGTCGCGCGTATACACGCGGCCGGCGCCGCTTCCCGCGCACGGTCGCACCAAGAAGCGTTTGTTTACATCTGGCAAACCAATTTGTCGTTTTAACAAAATAAATTGCAAATTCGCGTAACGCGATTCCCCCATCCCTCCCCCCCACCCTCCGCCGAATTGGCAGAGCGCGCGCGTCTCCGCGGGTGTGAATTGCAGTTCAAATTGAATAACGAATCGCACCCCGTTTTTTCACTCCCGCCATGGCACTTCAAGGTTAATTAAAAAGTGTCATTATTTATTTAACCGTCGCGTATAACTACGAGCTTACACCTCGAATGCAATTACGCTTACGCGCGCAAACAAATCGCCGGGCCGGCCGATACTACAATCGCGGTGTGTTTGAGAGTTCTCTTTTGACGCTCGTCGCGCCGGGAAAATAATCCGTGGCTGACGCGGATTGTTTGATCATTGTCGGGGAATTTTTAAGGGCGCCGCACGAAAAACCCGGCTTCTCTGAACCGCGAAACGAGACGACTACGGCGGCTCGAGCCAACTCGTTACGTACCGCGGCGAGTCTGGCCAGGGTCTGTAACGTTAACTTAATACCTTGCGTTGTCATTGCGGAAGGTAAGGAAATCCGACGTGTACTTAATAAGTTTTCGGTAATAACCAGGGCTCAAGGATCTCTCTCTTTCTCATCCTCTCTCTCTCTCTCTCTCTATCGCTTCTTCGCTCCGCCAAGCCGGCGCCCTTATTACCCGCCTACTCTATAGAAGCCCTCTCGCTCTCTCGATCTTTCTCTCTCGTCGGAACGCGTAATCTTAATAACTGCCGAGATCCTGGCTCAGGCAATAACTATCAAGTGGAATTTACTCGGGGGCACTTTAAAAACTGCGAAGCGATAACAAATCTCCGATTCCGCCGTCGTTTCCACGAAGCGGATAAAAATCGTGCACGGCTCTCCCGGCGATCTCTCTTGCGCGCGGGGACGCGTCATGCGAGAGATTGAACTGTTTTAATTGTTTTGTGGGAGCCGGTCCTGTAAACAATATTAGATACGGCGCTTTCCGCGCGAGAGGGGGAGAGAGAAAGAGCTTTCCTCGGGAAAACGATCCAAATCGAGATATCGGATCACGCGTGTCTCGCGCGTTTGGAATCTATTCGAGCGAGAACTCACGTGAAATCGCGCCCTTGGTGCCCGCCTTTACGCTGCTTGAATTTTACGTTAGCGCGACGTCGAAAGCCGGAGAGAGAGAGAGAGAGAGAGAGAAGAACGTGAAATATGAATCTCGGCCGAGACGAGCAGTCAACGAAACCGAGATAATCAAACGCCGCTATCTACCATTGCTCTCTGTAAATCCCAGAAGCAATAAAGCTGCGGTGGCGGGACGAGTCGGCGAAGGGGAGGAGGGCGGGATAGCGTACCTTTCGTACTTTCTTCTTTCACGATGGAACGGATATCGCTGCGCGCGCGAGCAACGAGCGAGAGAGAGAGAGAGAGAGAGGGGGAGAAAGGGAGAAATAGAAGTAGAAAGAAAAGAGAAAAGGGAGAGAGAGAGAGAGAGCGGGGGTTTTTCTCGACGATTTTTTAATTACTCGCTCGCAATCTCGCGTCTCCGCCCGACGTAAACGCCATTTCGCGAGAACGGCCGGCAGACAATTGCCGAGAGAGACGGAGAGAGAGAGGCCGGAGATGCCAGCGGAACGATCCAGGATTTATGTTATCCCCGGAGAAGGACTCGCGGGACGCAAGCACGTGTCGGAGAAACTGGATTGGCGGAAAAGAGGAGAGGAACGTGAAGGTCGTTCCGCCCGATATGTAGGAGGGTGGAGGAGGCAGCGAAGACCTCTTTCGAGGCTCCACGAATTCTCACCTCGCTCGGATCCTCATCGTAATCCTGACCCCTTCCCGAGAGTCGCGCATTACCGAGCGCGCATATAGGTGCGCGAACGGGCGCATGATAAATGAAATAATGAAACCCGACGTCTCTCTCTTTCCCCTCTCCTCTCTTCTGTTCTCCGCTCTCTTCCTTTCTTCCTCTCTGTATATCTCTCTTTCGCTGGCTCGGCGCGTTCGAGCTCCGCGTAATTAATAGGAGGAAATGCGACAAAGTGTGTTCGTTATGGCAGCGCTGTTTCTAATTTCGTAGTACTGTAAAACACAGTATTAATTTCGCCCGCTTTATTATCCGCACTACTCGTTTTTACCTCGGCATACCCGATGCAGATGCACGTAGTACGAACATTACGTAATTGGTTGGCGCGGACTACGGAGTCCCCGCTGTTTACGTTGAATCTTCGGGAGACGTTTCATTTCGCTCATTGAAAAAACACCGAAGCGCTCGTTACGGAGATACGGTTTGTATTAATATGAACATACGTATTCGTATAATAATGAACATACTCACCCGTCATTCGTTGTCGAGAATGAAGGATTTTTTTGGGAGGGAGGGATAAAGATTTCCGTGAAAAATCTATTCTGGCGAACGTTGGCTGACTTGAAAGCTTTATGAAATTATCTTTCAGCTTTTCGTGTGATTTAAAGAAAGAAGCCGTGAAAAGAGCCGTTTTCTTCTCATATGTGAGTGGGTATATTTTGATGTCGCGCGGATTTTTATAGAAAACAAATATAAATCCAATTGAGAGGACGCGCGCGTTATGAATTCTTTAAAGTCGGCCAAGCGTCGACAGGTTGAAATCTTGTCATCGTTTTTCATATCAACACGTTTATTCTGATTACGCTGAGGTGTGTATATATTTGTAGAGAGAGATCTATAATTATTGTAGATACACGTAGTATGGTCGTCGCAATTTCAATTTTCGACACGTTCGCGTTTCTCTCATCAGGCTCGCCAGATGGAATCTCACGAAACATTCGCACGCGCACACACGCGGACCGTGGATTTCACGGAAGAATGTACAAACGAGCACGCGCGCGCACACACACACACACACACACACACACATACAGACATACGTTCACACACGCCAAGAGATTATGTACAATTCGTAACATAGTCGCGCGATTCGCCGGCTCTTTGTTACAATTCCAGTTATTCCAGTTGTAGAAAAGATCGTAATTTTGTCGACGGCGCAGAGCGGAAGCCAAATATCAGCTGAACGTCAAATATTCCGATGGAATTACAATGAAAAGTGATATCGATGCGACGAACGACAAGGGAAAAAGAGGGAAATTTCGGAAACTCGAGTTTGCCGAAGTTTGTCAATTTAGCAATTTAGGCTCGTCACGCGATCGATGCTCGACGTCGGCATCCGCCTCCTGCTGCTCGATCAGCCGCGGATAATTACGACGACAAGCGGGGAATCGCGAAAGTGCGTGTCGCCGCGCGAATAAGAAAGAAACGAGGGTCCGAAACGAAACGTGGAGCAGAGGACACGTAATCTCCCCCCCCCCCCCC